AGACAGAGGGAGGGAGGAGGGGGAATGGTCTTTAACAAGGGCCTCTCTTCCAACAGAAACTTCTACGTGTTACTTCGTTTGAATTCTCCAGTATTCTGTGTGGTAGATATATTTCTCCCCACTTACAGACGAAAAATCAGAGGGTCAGAGAACCAAGTGACTCACAGAGTGTCACATAGGTAATTCACTTCTGAGTACAACCTGATGCTATTTCTTCCACATCAAGCTTCTTCACCTGCTGGCAAACCTTTATAATTTTTACAGGCTGCATGTAAAGAGGGCACAACCGTTTACTTTTCTTTTCTTTTCGAGACATTTTTGCTCTTGTTGCCCAGGCTGGAGGGCAATTGCGCGATCTCAGGTCACCACAACCTCTGCTCTTGGGTTCAAGTGATTCTCCTGCCTCAGCCTCCCGAGTAGCTAGGATTACAGGCACCTGCCACCATGCCTAGCTAATTTTTTGTATTTTTTGTAGAGACAGGGTTTCACCAGGTTGGCCAGGCTGGTCTCGAACTCCTGACCTCAGGTGATCCATCCACCTCAGCCTCCCAAAGTGTTGGGATTACAGGCATGAGCCACCTCACCCAACTCACTTTTCTAATACTTTCACAACAAAACAAATTCAAAATGGCACATCTTTACAAAATACAGCTGCCTGTCTTTTAGCAAAGGCACTCGACTCTTTTCTCCTCTTGGCCACTTATCCCAACTAAACATATCACCACTGAGGACCTGTCCTGGGGTTTAGCTCCTGATGAAGAGACAGAGAAAAGGTCAAAGAAAGGAAGGGCAACGTTCCACCCAAGATGACTCCAGCACTAGGATTTGCAGATGGGGAAGATCACGGGATGCTGAACACAACAGAATCTCAACAGGGACCCAAGAGAGAAAGGCTCCTCTATCCCTACACTAATGTCCCATGATCCCCGTATCACTTTCCAGAAAACACTGTCAGTTCCATGTACCTGGGATTATAAATTCCTAGATTTATAGAGAAAATGTAAAAATCTGAAGGGGGGGAAATTGTGAAACAATGTGAAAAAAACGATTTGTCAAATGGACGGTGGGAAGTAACTCCTCCCCTGCCTCCTCCAAGCTTCTAACACACGTGGCACACAATACAGGGGAAACTGCCCCAGAAATGACTGAAAATGTGCCCTTTTGAGGTAAAGTAACCATGGACAAGTGACTATAACAATGACACAGCTGGGAAGATCCAAATCCGTTTCTGCTCAGCAAATGTCCAGATCCACATGTGCCTGCTTACCTAGTCAAGACTGGGTTTGGTGCCGTTTCATTTTTCAATTTTCCTTTCATATAGATGCTAGTGTGTTCTTCTTACAATAAAACACTTGTCCACCTCATTTCCCTCTCTAGGGAGACCCCTTGGTGGTCAGAGCCCATCGCCAGTTCTGCGAAGTCCCAGGCAGGGGCAAGAGGCCACCTTTGCGGGAAGCAGTTCCACGGCCGGGCTGCAGACCCCCTGAAACTGCGATGGCCAGGCCCAAGGGCTGAGACTGCCTGGAGAGAAAGCCCAGCTCTCCTGTCCCTGCTCCTCGCTCCCCTTCCATTCCCATCCCCCCACCCCGCCTCTCAGCCTGCCCGCCCCAGCTCCATAGCCAGCTAGGTGCACACTCCAGAGCGGCAGACAACTAACACTGGATCTCTCATGTCCCAGAGTTCCCCATCTTCTTGCAGAAGGAGAACATGGTCAAGTCCTTGTCGGCGGCCAGGACCAAGCCATTCCCAGCCCCAGCATGAGACGGCAAATGTTACAAGGCCATGCCCCAGAGCCAGCGCAGGGCAGTCATTTGCAGATTCAATTATTAAAGGTCTCTAGAAACATTTCAGCTGAGGGGTGGTAGGAAGGAGCACATAAAGCAGTGTAAGTGTCTGCTGATTTTTAAGTGCCCAGGCCCTGCAAACAGCATTCCTCAGTCCCATAGTTATCATAGTACATCATGAAAATTAAAGATGCTCAAGGTAAGAAAAACTCAGTTTCATTTGGAATCTAAAATGTTTCCGAGCCTTCTTTTGGGAAATCCAGACGATTAAACTGCTTTTCAGTTGCAATGTTTATAAGATCCTAGATGTACAAAAAATATAAATTCTGCCCAACACTGTTTAAGTGTGATGGGGTTTCCAAGTTTCCACTTCTATTACATGAGAGGATTCCAAAGCAGGCCTTGAAGGCATCAGAGCTGTAACTGCATTTAATACTCAACCCAGTTTAAACACCCCATGAGGCCGGGCACGGTGGCTTATGCCTGTAATCCCAGCACTTTGGGAGGCTGAGGTAGGTGGATCACGAGGTCAAGAGATCAAGCATCCTGGCCAACATAGTGAAACCCTGTCTCTACTAAAAATACCATAATTAGCTGGGCATGGTGGTGAGTGCCTATAATCCCAGGTACTGGGGAGACTGAGGCAGGAGAATTGCTTTAACCCAGGAGGTGGAGGTCGCAGTGAGCTGAGATTGCGCCACTGTACTCCAGCCTGGGGACAGAGCGAGAGTCCATCTCAAAAAATAAATAAGTAAATATAAATATAAATAAACACCTGATGACATCAGTTCTCCCAGATCCCTACAGAGCTCACCAGCAGACAGGCAACTTCCAGACAGAAGGAAGACAATGAGAGTCCAAAGGGCTGTGACTCCCCAATGCCAGAGCCAAGGGAGGGAGTTCTTAGAGCTCAGCTCTTTTCCTTCTCAGGTGGGAGAACAAAGGCCCCAGGGTGGCAGAGCTGGGACTAGCATATGGGGCTTGGGACTCTGAGGCTCCCTCTATTGCTAGTCAGACACGAGCAGGGCAGGAGAGGCTCCACCACCACCAGGAATGTCAGGCGACCATCAACTGATGGTCAGGCAGTTGTCAACTGTCTCTCTAAAATAATAATTGGTTGCTGCCAATGCCAGGGAAAGGCAGTCTCCTAGAAGAAACCTGAAACTGATGATCAGCAGCTTCCTGGTAAGATCTCAGGAGTTGGGCAAGTGGGCTCCAGCAGGTGCGCTAAGAGGCACAGTGGTGGACTCTCCTCTGGGAAGGCTAGGCTGGGAAGATCGCCTCAAGTGAGCATGCGCACAACCCCAGGAAACACCCTGTGCTCCCTCCCAAGGGCTGGCAGGCCACCACACATGTGGACAGCCCACCCTCAGGGAAGAACCGGGAGAAGTAATGCAACCCCCAGAACCACGCCAGTGCGTAAAACTCCAAGTCAAAAGTCACACAGCACACTTGACCTCTCAAGTCACCCACTTGGCCCTCTTCCCAGTGTACTTTATTTCCTTTCGTTGCTGGTATAAAGCTTTTTAGTCAACTTTCACTCCTGCTCTAAAGCTTGCCTCGGTCTCTCACTCTGCCTTATGCCCCTTAATCAAATTCTTTCTTCGTAGGAGGCAAGAACTGAGATGGCTGCAGACCCACATGGGTGCACCACTGTAAACACTGTCACCTCCCGCTGTTGGATCGAGGACCCCAGCAGAAGATCTTCCTGGTACGGAGGGGAGGGAATGAGGTGGGGAGTCTGCCGAAGTTAAGGTGGCAAGTGTTTGCCCAAACCCTCTCCTCTTAAGCCCCCGACCCCTGACCTCAGAGGAAGAGGCCTACCCAGTGACTCTGGGCAACACGTGAGAGGATTATATAAGGAAGAACAAGTCTAATGGCCCAACGAGTTATCAGCTAGTTCAGAGGCCTTGCAGGAATTTCCTGTTATGTGATCTGGGTCATGCAAATAGCCATAACCGAGGTGAGGCCATCTCTTCACCCCGCCCCGCTCTGAGGGGAAATACACGTTCTTGACTCACTAGTTGCCTGTACTCTGCAGCTCTCCAACAAATGGGCCTCACTCCAGGAAGGTCCACAGGGAGCCAGCATGATGGTCACTGTGCCCTGAGAACAAAGAGTGGGGCATGCCCATGGGACAGCAAAATCCCAGCTCTTTCCGAGCAGACTCAGGCGGCTATGCTCCGGGTGAGCTATTGCTCTACCCACTAGAGAAATACAGAAACATGAAATTCCCCGGACCCAGGGCCATGGGCCTGGTTTTTAATAAAAACTCACTTCTGCTGTTCCTTTCCTTTTTTTTTTTTTTTTTTTTTAATTCTAAGACGTAGAACACACAAAAAGAGTGCATGCAAACATGTAGACACCACCCAGGCAGAGAAATAAAACTGCAGCTCTCCAAAGCCAACCCACCCCCGTCCCCCACCCCGCCATGCAGGTTTTGGGAAGCATCAGCTCCTCGGCTTTCCTTTTTCACACCTGCATATGCATCCCTGAAGATCCCAGTTTGGTTTCGCTACCGTTGCATGGAGTTATTTTCTTTTATGTTGTTGCTGTATGGCACTCAATGGAATGAATGCATTTTATTTATTCATTCTGCTGAAAAGCACATTTATGTTGCTTTCAGTTTTGGCTACTACAAATAATGCTACAGTGAATATTCTAGAATGCGTCTCCTGGTTCTCAGGTCCTGGAGTTTCTCCATGACACATGCTTGACAACAAAACGCGGCATCACGCGGAATGTGCTTCTTCGCGCTGACTACTGATGCCCGTCTGTGTTCAACACTCTGCCACCTTCCCTCCCTACAAGACCACCAATCCACCCACTCTGCTGATAGAGAGCAGGGACCACTGGTGACTCAGACGCCAAGAAAGCCCAGATGGTCACTAGAACGGAAGGTAAATCCTCCGTAAGACAAAGCCCAAGATTTTAAAATTCTGAGCTTAACCAGATCCAGCAACCGAAACAACTGGGCTTTTCAGAAGAAAAAGGTCACAAACTCCCCCCAAATAATGAGGTAGCACCTATGGCTTGGGAGCAGACCCACTTGCCCAGACTATCAACTGTAAGCAGTAAGTGCAAATGTGTTCCCAAGATATTAAGCGCAGAAGGATTGGACACCAATAAATCCCAATCCGCCCTGAGTGGCAGCAGAGAGAGGGTGAAGGGTGGGGAGGGGTCGTGAAGGCGGCTCTCCCCATAGTCATGACACACCTGTATACTGGCTGCATCTCCCGGGCTATGCCGATGACGGCGCCTGGCAGGAAACTGTCAAATTCCTCAAACAACTCCCGGATGTTGGTCATATACTTCAGGTCTAGGTCCAGCTGAATGATCCGCAGGACGTCTGCGGGAGAGAGAAGACAACAGTGAGACACATGCACACATCCTGGGAGGCTCGGCCACTGACGGAAAATAAAGTGGGGAGCAGAGAAAATGCACTGTTCCCTGATTGTTATCAGTGAATGATGCAAAGTTAGTGCTGGAACAAAAGGCCTTTCATCTACCAGCAACCCCTCTGCACTAGAAGTCTTCACAAGGGACTGCCTGGATCTTTTCCTCCAACTGCAGACATCTGTTTTGTTTAAAACTAGGTGACCCTGTGCTCCAGTATCGGCCTGTGGTCATGATGTGACTGTTAACCGTGCACTGTTTCACTCTCAAAAGTATCTCACTTGGATGATACCTTATGTGGACACCCTCCATCCTTACATAAAACTCAAACCATCCAGGGGTTTCCTCTTTGGAGCACAGGTGGTAAATGACCCACACAAGAGAGAGGTAAAAAACGTTATAGTCTCAGGCTTTTATTAGGGCATTCTGCAATCCCAGATGTGTATAACTGAAGATGCTGGCTGGAGAGAAACGACTGAACGATCTCAGATATAACCGTGTTTTTAATCCACTGCCTAAAAGATGAGCCCACATTCTTCAATGTCACAATTATCTGGCACATAAGAGCTGCCTACTTCCATTGCCTCCCGATGACTCTGGGCTAGAAGAGCAGGAGGGAAGCGCTGGTGAAGATCATTCCCGCACCCTTCACCAGCCCAGCCTGACTGTTGTGCCAGGCACCAGGCTGACCAGGACCCTGCTCCCAACAGAGACACGTAGGTGGCAGCAAACAGAGGGAGGGGCTGGTGCCGAAGCTGAAATGGAAGAGCAACCATGGGAGGTCCAGAGATGGGGCACATGGGGTCCAATGATGAAGTGGAGAAAGCAAGTTCCTGGTATCAAGGAGGACCCGGCCTGGGAGTCAGAACACATGAGCGCCAGTTCCAGTTCCGCTGCTGACTGACCCTGCAACCCAGGGAAAGTTACTTTGCTTCTCTCAACCTCAGCTGGTCCATCTGTTAACACGGGGATGCTATCCTATGCCTTGTGAGGCCGTGACACTGAGAAGATAATGTGTGGGGACAAAGCTTATAGACTGAGAGTGTTCCAGGGATCCAAAGACCCTGAGGAACAGAATTCTGGAGCACAGCACTATGCGGGCTAAATGTAGAATTTATGGGGAGGAAATTTAAGGAATTTGGGATCATTTTGCTGTAACCAAAGAAACTCCTGATGGTAGGAAAGGCTGTGCATTTAGTCAGCTTATCAATCAACATTCCTCATTGAAAGCCCACCACTTGCTACAGCTACTCTCTCTTTCAAGGCCATCTGAACCCTACTTACCCTGCAAGGAGCAGTCTAAACACCAGACAGGCCCTGCAGAAGCTGTGGCTTCCTCCTCTGTGCTCCCCACATAGCTGGCTGCCTGCCTCTGGTCACAGCCCCTGCGTACCTGTCTTACCACCCTTCTGGAGAGGGCACACCTTGAGAATGGGAATGCGCTGGGAGGGCGGGGCTCAGGACCATCAGACACTTCTGGAATAGCATCTTAATCTTGTCTTAATATGCCCATCAGCAAATCTGGGCACTTCACCTGCACTTTAGGGACCAGCTGGGAGTAAACCCAGAAAGGTCCTACACAGCCCTAAGACACCAGAATCTTAGATGCTTCGATGTTATTTACAACTCCTCCTTCCTAAAGCACCCTCCAGGAAGGGTCTGCTTAAAGTTGTTAACACTTCTTTCAGGAGGGGCTTCACCAGGTGAGGTTCACTGACTAAGAAGGAGAGAGGTGGCAACTCTGGCACAAAGTGACCCCTTCAAGTGACACTGATGTTAAACCACTGAGGTGGGAGGCCACTCCCTTCTATTCCCGGAGGCCACCAGGCCCCTGCGCAGCCTGTACTATCGTGCCAGCACCTGCCCAGGAGGTTAGCCCCTTTATGTAATTATGAAATAAGATGCCAAGTTGTAAATGCCACTGTTGAAAAGAAAGATGCTTACTAGGAGTGCTGGAATTCATCAGGATGAGGTTTTTTTTTTTGAGACGGAGTCTCACTGTATCGCCAGGCTAGAGTGCAGTGGCCCAATCTCGGCTCACTGCAACCTCTGCCTCCCCCAAGGTTGAAGAAATTCTCCTGGTTTGGCCTCCTGAGTAGCTAGGACTACAGGCACATGCCACCCTGCCTAGCTATTTTTTTGTATTTTAGTAGAGACAGGATTTCACCATGTTTGCCAGGATGGTCTAGCTCTCTTGACCTCGTGATTTGTCCGAGCTCCCGAACTACTGGGATTACAGGTATGAACCACTGCGCCCAGCCCAGGGTGAGATTTCTAAAGGGACCTGGTTCCTCTGGCCTCTGTTCCTTGATGTAGCCATCTCTCTGTGGGAACTATGTCGGGGCAGAATCCTGAAGGCATTGTGAGACAAAATGAGATTGATCCGTGAAGTCACCGCACAGACAAGATGCTGGTGGAGGATAGCTGAAGTGACAGCGGTAGGTTCACTCAAACTGAAGGAATAAATGAATGAGATAACTTCCCCTGAAGCCAGGAAGACACAAAACCTATAAATCATGAAGAAGAATGAGAAAAAGGAAGACTAGACATCTACAAGACTCACAAGAATGGCCAGCATCCAAGGCTGGCTGAAGGTCCACCATGTCCAAATGTTGAGAAAACACAACAAAAAGAATGATCTAGCATGGCAGATCTGAATAGCCTGGTTATAACTGAGGCCACTCCACCCATTTTACAGATGGGAAAACCGAGGGCCAAGAAGAGAGACTTGGCAGGCATTACACTCAAGGTGGGTGGTAAAGCCGATCTTAGAACCCAGGTCTACTGACTCCCTAGCTAATGCTCTTGTGTTTATTAGCCCCGTCACCTCCATCCCACTCCCAATATGGACCATAAACTCCTAGAGAGGAGAAAGCACTGTGTAATGGATAAAGGGTGTGCAAAGGACTAACTAGTCACCCAACACAACTAGCTCAGGGAGTATCTGCATATCATCCTGTGAAAATATCAGCATGAAGACAAGTACAAACTAAAGGTGTAGCTTTCAAGAACTCCAAGACCCTGTTACCATCATTGCCACCACAGCCCTGGCAGCACTCCTCAGGCGTTCCTGTCTGTCCAGGGACTATTTTCAGGGTTAAGAACACCTACACCCTCTGCCTGGGTCTGAGGCCTGGCTGGAGGCTGATATATCTGTACAATTACACCACAGATGGCCACATGCATGGCACCAGTACTAGCTGGGAGATTCCCAAATCAACATTTCCCTTTAGAAACAGGCTTGGGTCAACTCAACTCATCATCAGCATCCACTTAAATCAGCCACAAGCATGTCATCTGACCATGGATGGAATTACAGCCCAGAGTGAGTAATTAATGAGACCCAAAAATAAACAACAAAAGGAAAACGAAAATCCTAGAGGAAAAAAAAAAATGAGCCTTCTGTACTCTGCCTTCCCTTCTCGTATCACCAGAAACAATCATCTTGGCAGACAGGTCTTAACACACAAAAAGCAACATGTAACAAAACAGATCAAGAAGAAAAGACATGCTTTGGTAAGCACAGAGCCTACCATCCTGGGAAACAACACAGGTCTTCAGGGAAGGGCAGGTTAACTATGCGAATGCCTCCTCTGTCTTTCTGTTTTGAAATGGCTTCAGAGCTTTACAGAGATAAATATTTATAACACGCCAGAGGACTTTCACTGCAGAAGTCAGCCCAAATTCCACTAACTGGGAGAGGGCTTAGGGAGAGGGGGAAATTATGACAACACTAAGCTATGTGACTCCACGTCATGAGGCTGAGGACCTGGAAGCAGCTGCCTGGAAAGGGAGCTCATTTTCCCATTGTGCGCTTTGAAGTATTACAGCAGTATGCCACCTGCCTTATCATGCTCTGGTGTTTTTAAATTGCTGCACAGCAGCACCTCTGGCCTGCAGGAGCCAAAGACCAATTGAAGGGGGTGGAGACTTCCTCTAACAGAGGATCCTGACCCCAGAGGAGCTGTTTGGAGGCCCATGGGACAGGCGTGGTCCCCCTGTGCGGCACCAGCCAGAGCAGGCTGGCATCTGGCACTGGAGGGTCTGAGCATGTGGTAGAGGGCCTGTCCCTGCAATGCACAGACCCAGGCCATGTCCTCAAGATGTGTGGTTGGAATTGGTGGTGGTGGATCTCATATCCAACAGAAACTTGGGTGGCTTCTGAGCTGGATGCTTCTCTGTCAAAGCGCCTTTCTCCACTTCCCTCCTAGTACAAGGCCCAGCCACAGGGCAGCTGGAATAGGGGCTACAAAGGAACAGAAGGAGCATGTCAAGGGTCCCAGGCCTTGGGCATAGTTCTAGGGGCTCCTCCAGCCTGACCAGACAAATGTTCACCCTTTAGGAGCAGAAAAAGATTTCTGTGTGCCAGGCCCTGGGAAGGCTTTACATACTGTCTCACCTCATGAACCTCCATTGAGGTGGGTGTCAGTATCTTCCAGTTTCAGATGAGGAACCTGATGCTCACAGAATTTTGGTAATTCATTTAAAGCAACTCAGCAAAAAGGCTCAGAGTTGAGAGCAATTACAGATTTCCCTCACTCGACAGTTTGCTTGATCCATCATACGTTTCTGAGAAAAGCCTTCAGACATCTCTGAAGTCCCTTTTAAAATCCTATTAGCTTTAAGAGCAAGAAATGCTTCCACATCAAGGGTGAAAATAGCAGACAACTCCAGATCGCCTCTGCGCAGTGGCTGGGGCTCCCATGGACAGAACCCACACCACAACCACCTCCTGCAAGACCCTCATCCCCAAGAAGCGTGAAGACTATTGGGATTCCCTTTCATTGACACAGAACAATAGAGAAACTTCTGGAAGAAAGGGTTTTATGCCACAGAAGTTGAAAAGAAGCTTTTAGTGACAATAGCAAACATGTATCAATACATTATACTCATTGAGTCATCTAAACATTCTATGAGATTACTATATATATATTTTTTTGAGATGGAATCTCA